ATTGTAGAGAGTCTGGACACAAGCTTATGTAAGTCTGGATTTTTTTTTTTTTCAATTTTAAAAAGTGAACAATGGGCTGGGCATGGTGGCTCATGCCTATAATCCCCGCACTTTGGGAGGCTGAGATGGGTGGATCTGTTGAGTTTAGGATTTCAAGACCAACCTGGACAACATGGCAAAATGCCATCTCTACAAAAAATACCAAATTAGCTGAGTGTGGTGGTGCACATGCACCTGTAGTCCCTGCTACTCAGGAGGCTGAGGATCCCTTGAACCCAGGAGGCGGAGGTTACAGTGAGTTGAGATAGCGCCACTGCACTCCAGCCTGAGTTGAGATCACGCCGCTGCACTCCAGCCTGGGTGACAGAGTGAGACCATGTCTCAAAAATAAAGGGAGCGATGAACATAACAGTAAGTCTTTTTTTTTTTTTTTTTTTTTTTTTTAGTGTAAAATGCCAATGGTTCTAGAAAGAGCAGCTTTTAGTAAATATGTGTTTTTTTTTTAAAGAAAAATTCTTGCCTACGATTTTTTTCTGTTAAAAGTTAATGAAATTAATTGTGCTCTATTATAACTTTTTCTTTGAGACAGAGTTTTGCTCTTGTCACCCAGTCTGGAGTGCAGTGGCATGATCTTGGCTCACTGCCACCTCTGCCTCCTGGGTTCAAGCAATTCTCCTGCCTCAGCCTCCGGGTAGCTGGGATTACAGGTGCCCGCCACCATGCCTGGTTAATTTTTTGTATTTTTTTTTTTTTTTTTTTTTTTGAGACAGAGTTTCACTCTTGTTACCCAGGCTCGAGTACAATGGCACGATCTCGGCTCACCGCAACCTCCGCCTCCTGAGTTCAGGCAATTCTCCTGCCTCCGCCTCCTGAGTAGCTGGGATTATAGGCACGCGCCACCATGCCCAGCTAATTTTTTGTATTTTTAGTAGAGACGGGGTTTCACCGTGTTGACCAGGATGGTCTCGATCTCTTGACCTCGTGATCCACCAGCCTCAGCCTCCCAAAGTGCTGGGATTACAGGCTTGAGCCACCGCGCCCGGCCAATTTTTTGTATTTTTAATAGAGACTGAATTTCACCATGTTGGCCAAGCTGGTCTTGAACTCCTGACCTCAAGATCCACTACCTCAGCCTCCCAAAGTGCTAGGATTACAGCAGGTATGGATCACCGTGCCTGTCTGTGTTCTATTATAACTTTTAAAAAATAAATGAATACAAATAAATGCTGGTTCCAGAACACTTTTTGTTCAAGATAGAAAAATGATACTCAAAACACTGTGTAGCTGGCCAGGCACGGTGGCTCATGCCTGTAATACCAGCACTTTGGGAGGCCGAGGTGGACTGATCACTTGAGATCAGGAGTTCGAGACCAGCTCTGGCCAACATGGTGAAACCCTGTCTCTACTAAAAATACAAAAATTCGATGGGTGTGGTGGCATACACCTGTAATCCTAGCTACTTGGGAGACTGAGGCAGGAGAATCACTTGAACTAGGGAGCCGGAGGTTTCGGTGAGCTGAGATTGCACCACTGCACTCCAGCCTGTGTGACAGAGTGAGGTTCCGTCTCAAAAGAAAATAAAAAAATGTAGCTTACTGACATTTCAGATGTGTGACGTGTTAAATGTTTGCATGGCTTTTCATTTTCTGCTGCCAAGTCATATTGAACAGGATTATCATACATTTTTAAAGGATGAAAATAAATAAAATACTGATTCTATAATTCATTTAACAAATATTTCTTGAGCTTCAGCCGTATGCTAGCTGTTTGATATGTAAGAGTGAACAAAATGGATAGGATTCCTGCCCTGATGGAATTTACACTTTAACTGGCAGTGACAGACCACAATCTGATTATCACAGGAATAAATATACAATGGTAACCCAGTGTGTACTACTAAAAAGTAGGAGAGCAATGGGTTGATACCCCTGACCCTAGACTAGGGGATACAAAATGGATGGCTTTCCTTGAAGAAGTGACATTTGAGAATAAACCTGAAAGAAGAGGAGTTTGTCAGGTAAAGGTTTCAGGCAGAAGGAACAGCATGTGCAGAGGCCCTTGAGGCAGGAGGAGCACGTTTTTGAAGAACTTACAGAAGTCAGTGGAACTGGATCAGAAAAGAGGTGTAGGAAAGGGGTTTAATGATGGCAGGCTCCTGTAATCTTGGCTACTCAAGAGGCTGAGGCAGGAGAATCACTTGAACTCAGGAGGCAGGGGTTGTGGTGAGTCAAGATCATGCCACAGCAGTCTAGCTTGGGTGACAGAGCAAGACTGTGTGTCAAAAAAAGAAAGGAAGGGAGGGAGGGAGAGAAGGTAGGGAAGGAAGAAAGGGAGGGGAGGGAGGGAAGGAAGGAAAGGAAGAAGGAAGGAAGGAAAGAAAAAAGAAAATGCCCTTTGGGGAATATACACTGACTATGTGGTCTTGGGTATGTCTGAAGAATAAAAAGATTAGAGGTTTTATAAAGAGAAATGTTACATATTTTACTCTTTAAGGAAGTTCATTGGCACTAAGAAGGTTTTGGGAAGCTGGCAAGCTCTGCCTGGCGTATAATCAACTTTCATACAACCTACTCAAAAAATAAAGAAAAATTCAATCTAATATTGAAATTTTTAAAAACAAAATTGAAAAGGAGAAAAATTCTATATGTCATATGTACATGTCCTATAGGAGATTTTTGAAGGATTGTTTCAGTATAGTAAGTTACCATTTTCTCTGAATTAATTGTTTTAATTACATATCCTTTTTTATATCTTGAGAATATAAGTATTATATCTCAGACATATTTTGTAAAGTATTATAATAGTTAAGAACACTTTTGCTGGTGTAAGAACCTGGGTTTATATTCTGGCACTGGGCCGGGCGCGGTGGCTCAAGCCTGTAATTCCAGCACTTTGGGAGGCCGAGGCGGGTGGATCACGAGGTCAAGAGATCGAGACCATGCTGGTCAACATGGTGAAACCCCGTCTCTACTAAAAATACAAAAAATTAGCTGGGCATGGTGGTGCGTGCCTGTAATTCCAGCTACTCAGGAGGCTGAGGCAGGAGAATTGCCTGAACCCAGGAGGCGGAAGTTGCGGTGAGCCGAGATCGCGCCATTGCACCCCAGCCTGGGTAACAAGAGCGAAACTCCATCTCAAAAAAAAAAAATATATATATATATTCTGGCACTGTAATTTGTACAGTTAGTTAACTGGGCAAATTGCTTGAGCTCTCTAAAACTGTTTTGTCATCTGTAAAATGAAAATAACAATGTTTGTCTGATAGAGTTATGTTATGAATAATATGATATACATGTGAAGCACTTGTGAGAATGCCTAGATAAGCTGTTCACCTGGGAAAAAGTTACATATTGTCCCTTTCTATCAAAATAGCTTCTAATTAATACCACATCTCAAAAGTTTGAATACATAGAAAGAATACTGAAGGGAGTTATGCCAGTAAGTTATTGTAGTTGCTTCTGACAGTTAGGATTATGGCTGATATTTATTTCTTGGGTTTTTTTGTGTGTGTATTTTCTAAACTTTGAATTGTGAGCATAGATTTAAAATTAGTAACATCTGCCATTTAAAGATGCTACCTTTTCTATTAATTTTTAGTAGAAACTGTTTTGGCAGTGTTAGAAAGTCTACAGACCCTGATTCAATTCTGTTATTGCTTGATTCTACAAATTTATCCATAACTGTTTTTGCTTTCTTTCCTGTATTTTGCTTAATTTTAAAAGGCTTTGTGGCTGGAGCTGCTAAATTGTGATTGGAATGGGAAAGGGCTTGCATTTTGAGACCATCTGTGGGAGTTGCATTGTCTAAAACTGACAAGAGATCATGGCAGATGGTGAGGTCAAAAGATTGACTTTTTGAGCTTGACATAATGTGTTCATGAAGCTGGAAGAAGAAATCCAACTTATTTTTTTTAACTAACAGAAGAGCTTGGTGGCAGGAAGAAGTGTGCAATTGTTGAGTCTGGATAAAACAGAATGCACACAAGACTGGTTCCGAGAATCGTCAGTTCTGCCAAAGATGGCAACTTCTTGAACCTTTCTGTGCCAGGTTTATTTAATTTCTGGACACTTTTGAAGGTTTAAGTTATATAATGCAAATAATTTATACATTAAAATACAGAAATTTTAAAACTATTTAGAAATATGTATTTTTAAATTAAAATCCTATAAAGTATCACTCAAAGCCAATACAGTATACTTAATTTTTAATTGAATGAAGGTCTCTGTCACAATCCCATTTGTTTTTATAATGTCTATCTTAATGTAATTTTATTTCTTTAAAATTACATTTGAACATTTGGTGATTACAGTCTTTGTCATCTCCTAGGCTGTGTTCATTGCCTGAGTTAGTGCCATGCACATAGTGACTGTTCAGTATTTGCTGGATGAGTAATGAATGAAGTTATTGCCTACTCTTGTTAATTTTAGGAGAATTTTTCTTAACCACAATTAAACAGATTTTTTTTTTTTTTCTATTTTGAAATTGGGTTTGTGTTATGGTGTTTTTCGCTTTTACCATTTGGGAATTACGTATTATTTATTTTAGAGAAAGAAGCCTTAATTTGTCATGATAAATCAATAAAGAGATTTTTTTTATTCTCCTCTAACATTGAATGCTTCATTTGTGCTAGTTAGTGTCTTAGTAATTTTACATGTATTAACTCACTTAATTAAGTGGCCAAGCTGGTCTTGAACTCCTGACCTCGTGAGCCACTGCACCCGGCCCTGTCAGTGGATTTTCTAAAGCAGCATAGCATAATACCGTTTCAAAGCCCGGGCTCCGTCACTTGTGAACTAAGTTGACTTGGCCAAATTACTTAACCTCTCTAAGCCCTAGTTTTTATCTGGAAAATGGGGATTAAGATGGTACAAACCTCATACTATTGTTGTGAAGATTAATTTAGACAATTCACGTAGATAACAATGTATGTCACATAGTAAATATGACATAAATGTTGCCTATTATTGTTACATTACTATTCCCTCTGTTTTCCTTTAACAGGTTATTCTTTTAAAGAATTACCGAAGACAAAGTAATGGCTTCTTTTTTTTAATGGCTTTACAGAATCTTAAATAGAATACAGTTTGACATGACGGCAAAAAATGTAAGTATTTGTAAATTTTTTAATGTGAATATTTTTTAAAGTGAGCTGTGCTTTTTCCTACATATTTTCTCACCATTTTGGTTAATCAGATTTAATATACTAGCATGGATTTATAATTATGTTTGTTTATGCAGAATATAAACTTTAATGCTATTGAATACAGTGTCCTAATGGACATGGTAGCATTCTTGCAAATTGGCACCAAGTTATTCCTCAACAGCTGCAAATTGCTGTCTCCAGAAAGTTTCCCACCCCTCTCTTCTCTTTTGGATATTGTAATAAATTTGTTTTGGTACTTGCCAAAGGATTACTTGACCTTTTTGAGTAAATCACTGTTTTATTTAGCTTAATTTATTAATTTTAATGTTTTGGTTACTCACGGAAATGTGTATGCTCAGATACTGTTTGAAAGTAGCTTGCTGTCTTCCATAAGATGGTTCCTGAAGAAACATTAGATTTTAGATGTTTTGGAGAAGTTATTCAAGTTTTCCTTCTACTTGAGGCTATCATTTCTGAATGTGCCTCCCTTCAAGTTATATGTCACTCTTTATTTATTTATTTATTTATTTATTCATCACTCTTTATTAATGAGTTTGTTTCCAGTTATGGTAAAGAATTGTACCCTAAAAGAAATCATATTTTGGCCGGGCGTGGTGGCTCAAGCCTGTAATCCCAGCACTTTGGGAGGCCGAGGCGGGTGGATCACAAGGTCGAGAGATCGAGATCAACCTGGTCAACATGGTGAAACTCCGTCTCTACTAAAAATACAAAAAAATAGCTGCGCATGGTGGTGCGTGCCTGTAATCCCAGCTACTCAGGAGGCTGAGGCAGGAGAATTGCCTGAACCCAGGAGGCGGAGGTTGCGGTGAGCCGAGATCGCGCCATTGCACTCCAGCTTGGGTAACAAGAGCAAAACTCCGTCTCGGAAAAAAAAAAAAAAAAAAAAAGAAATCATATAACATCAGGAAAATATAAATTGCTTTACTGTTCCTGTGTTCTGTGTATTAAAGTATAATTGCTTTACTGTTCCTATGTTATTATGTAGGAATCTTTGGGAATTAAACAAAAGGGAAATTTATTATAAAGATACAGGAATGTCTCAAGGAATTTATGAGTGGGGATTTTGTAGGCCCTCAGAAAGATCCAGGCCCAGAAACTAGAAATTTGACAGGCATTGAAGCAATATTTGGTTTTTATTTCTCATCTCTCTCAGCTTATTACTGTGTACCTGCTTCATTTCTTCCTCTGTCTGTCTCTGGAAATCATCTTTCTCAGTTCCCCAGCCAGGATAGTAGAACATGGCCCCACTTAGCATCTCCATTCTACATGTTTGCGGACCAGCAGTTCAGAGAGAGGTGCGAAGAAAGGGAGGGAGGCAGCCTGATGCATCCTGCCTACTTGTATCAGCTCCAATTTCAGACTCCTTAGGAGGGGCCTCTGGGACAGTTGAAGTTTGACGTCTACTAGTGCTTTAATTAGCTGTGACCGGGAGAAGCAAGTGTTGTTGTATAAAATGGCTGCTCAGGGCCCAGCACAGTCTGTGAGGAGAGATGATAAAGGGCTTCTTGTGAGTCAAGTGATAGTTCTGAATATTGCCCGTTAGGCAGCCAAACAATAGCATTAACAAACTCTTAGTACGTTATGTCTGTTTGCTTATTTTGGGTTGTAATTCAGAACATTATTTTTAACATGCAGATACAGATTTTGCTTCATTATCGCTTAGTGACCATCGTCAGGATTTATTGAGTTATTAGGATATGAGGCCAGGAAAGAAGTTAGCTTTCTCAGTATTTGATGTACGTTAAGTGGGTAAATGACTGTGCTGTTTAATGAGAACTCTTCGGGAGGTATAGGATGTTGTGATGAACTTAAACATTCTGTTTTGAACATATTAAAGTTGAGAAGTCCAAAAACTTCCAAGTGGAGATATTGGCTAGGCAATTTGATAAGTGACTGGAACTCAGGGGAAAGCTTAGGAATGGAGGTAGAAACTTTTGGGTCATTTCATATTAAAATGATTATAAAGCAATGAGACTACATGAGATCATATAGGGAGTGCATGGATAGCAAAAATATAAGGACCAAGGTCTGAGCACAGGGATTCTCCAGCAAAAAGATGGAAAGCAAGAGAAGCCATAAAGGAGACTCAAAAGAATGGGCAAAGACAGGAAGAAAAGAGTTATCCTGATGATCTGGAGGCCCAGGTGAAGAAAGCATTTCAAGGAGGAGAGGTAATCAGTTGTGTTACATGTTACTGAGAAGTGACACACAAATAAAGAAGAGATTATAGATAGGGAAAAGATTGCCTTCTTACAGAGGTATTGCTAAGCATATATCCAAATATTTATATTTTAAATTTGTTTCTTATTTTACATTTCTCTTATGATAATAGTTTTTTGTGAAGAGTTACTTTTGTCTTACCCATGCTATATTAGGTCTCTTATTGTTGCAGATGATCGAAACCCTATCAAAACAGCTTAAGACAAAAAGTGGAATGTATTGACTCATAACTGAAAAGTCTAGACTGCTTCAAACACATTTGGATTCAGGGGATCAAAGGATGATATCAGGGGTCTCTCTCTTTCCATCCTTAGGCTCTCCATATGGTGACATAATGGCTTACATTGGCCTCATAATACTTGTCTCAGAAGAAGAGAGGGAACTTTTGTCTTTTAAAGAGACGGAGTCTGGCTCTGTTGCATAGGCCGGTCTCAAACCCCTGGTTTCAAGGGATATGCTTGCCTCGGCCTCCCAAAATGCTGAGATTACAGGTATGAGCCACTGCACCTGGCCCCTTTTTAGTATTTATGTTTCAAAATCTGTGGAGGAGCGTGGGTTTACCTTGCTTAAACACTGTGGAGAAGGAAGTGAATTACAGTAAGTGGCCAGGCTCTGAGTCATGAGTCCACTTGTGCTGCCATGGCATGGTTGAGCCTCCAAGATTAACTGTCCTGCTAGAACTACATGGAATGTAAGATGGTTTATTTTGCAAAAGAAAGAGATGGGGAGCTGGCAACATAGTTATTGTATCTGGGATAAAATTGCTAGCAAATAGTATCTAGTATTCAGTGATACTCTTCTAGACCAAAAATGCATGTGTGTTCTAATCTAAACAATAATATAGTAAATAATTTGAAACTGGGTGTGGTGGCTCATGCCTGTAATCCTAGCACTTTGGGAGTCCGAGGCGGGTGGATCACCTGAGGTCAGGAGTTCCTGACCAGCCTGGCTAACATGGTGAAACCCCGTCTCTACTAAAAATATATTTGGGCATGTTGGCATATGCCTGTAGTCCCAGCTACTCGGGAGGCTGAGGCAGGAGAATCGTTTGAACCCAGGAGGTGGAGGTTGCAGTGAGAAGAGATCATGCCAATGCACTCCAGCCTGGGCAACAAGAGCAAGACTCTGTCTTAAAAAAAAAAAAGAATTTGAAATATAATTTTTGAGGTTTTTTTTTCTTCCCGCCTTGTCAATGAATCTTTAAGAAAAATACGTAAGCTGTAATGCTCATTGTGGAAAAATAAGAAAATACAGATAAAGGAAAAAAATAGCTATCCTAGAGAATATCAGCAAAATTTTGCTTAGGAAGATATATATACACAAATTGTGTGTGTGTGTGTGTATGTGTATGTGTGTATGTATATATATATATATATATATATATGGCAATCAAAATGTATAGACATTGGCCCAGAGTGATGGCTCATGCCTGCAATCCCAGCACTTTGGGAGACTGAGGCATGCAGATCACTTGAGGTCAGGAGTTTGAGACCAGCCTGGCCAACAGGGCAAAACCTTGTCTCTACTACAAATACAAAAATTAGCTGGGCATGGTGGCAGTGCACCTGTAATCCTAGCTTCTTGGGCTGGAGGGCCTGAGGCAGGATAATAGCTTGAACCCAGGAGGCAGAGGTTGCAGTGAGCCAAGATTGAGCCACTGCATTCCAGCCTGGCGATAGAGACTCCAAAGTGCTGGGTTTACAGACACGAACCACTTGCCTGGTTACTACTTAGTTTAATTTCTGTGATGAATGTCTTTTCTTATCTTGGTATCTCTGGAACATCATTTAAGTGTCTTTTTTATTTTGTTTTACTTTATTTTGAGACAGGATCTTGCTGTCTTGCCCAGGCTGGAGTGCAGTGGTGTGATCATGGCTCTCTGCAGCCTCTACCTCCTGGGCTCAAGTGATCCTCCCACCTCAGTCTCTCCAGTAGCGGGACTGCAGGCACCTTGTCTACCTAATTTCTTCTATTTTTTGTAGAGACAGGGTCTCACTGTGTTGCCTAAGGCTGGTCTCAAACTCTTGGGCTCAGGCAATCTTCCTGCCTTAGCCTCCCTAGGTGCTGCTATTATAGCTGCTAAAATAGCCTGGCCTACCTAGCTATTTTATGTTACTTATTGTATGGACGTTACACCGGTTTCCTAATATTGGCCATTAAGTTAAGTCTACTTTTTTCCTTTTTTGAACATTTTTGTCTATTTTTACTCACTCATTATTTCCACAAGACAAAATTCTACAAAATTACTGAGCCAAAGTGTGTATAATTTTTTAGAGCTTTTGATTCATATTGCTAAGACTGTACAAATTTATATATATACTTGTGGTATATGAGAGTGCCATTTCTTTTAATTTATTTGTAAATCTTTGCCAATTTAATCAGCAAAAAATGGTGTGCAATTTATTACATTTCTCTGATTAGTTAGGTAAACTAACATTCTGTGTTTATTGGTCATTTGCATTTCTCTTTTGTAAATGGCCTGTGCCAGGGTTTTTAGTGTTGGAATCCATTGCAATTTGGATGACAACTCACACTTTAAATACTGCTTTGCCGTTAACAGATATATTTACGTAATCATTTAACTCGATCCTAGGAGCTCTTTAGTTGTTGTGCACATGGATTTTATCATTCCCATCTTGTAGTGACTGTTCCATGATCACCTTGCCTGTGAAAGGTAGAGCTTAACTGAGCACAGATAATCTTACTCTGAACCTTTCCTTTCAGTAATGTTATGTCAGTCAGAAATGTTGAATATCAGTGAAATTACAATATTATTAGTGAATATGATCGGAGTCTTAAAAATTGAACGTAGATATTTTGAATTTGGTAGACACAGTGACTGCTTATATAGTACACAACACAGCATTGGAATACCCAGATATTGTTCCACTATAAGTAACCATTTTATATATATATGTGTGTGTGTGTCTTATACCATCATGTTTTATACTTTAAATACAGACAATACAATTTATTTTTTAAAAATTGAGAAAAAAGAGGAATACACAGTTAGAAGATTTTCCTCAGGACATGTTTAGGCAAAAAATTTAACATGAAGTATGAGTTCACTTTTTTCTCTTGTTCATTGAAACATAGGCCCTTTTTAAATGGGTAGAATAAGGAAAGAATGGCTAATATTTTAGGATGCTTTCGTTAGCCAACTCTCAAATGATACAGTTTTTTTGAATCTTTACAGTGCTTATGATAGGAGAGACTGATACATATTTCGAAGCTTTAATTAAATCAACTTTGGTTTTATATATATAAGCTTTAAATATAAATACCTCCTCTCCATCTATGAGACTAACATTAGCATACAATATTGACTCACAGTTGACTTTTATCTTTTTAGAGTACAATCTGTTGGTTATTAAGATGCAGGTGTACAGCTGCTTAAAAAGTTTCCACATTCGTTGGCTGTTTTACTCTGTAGAAGTTGGATGTTAAGTGCAGGTGTTTAAGCATAACGGTAACCCAGTAACTGAACTCTCTACGAATATGTGGTTTTAGTTGAGGTTTTTGCCATTTCTGTTGTATAATAGCAAAAAGGTATCAACTGATCCTTTTGAAGTTATTATAATAAATGTATTAAAATGGCCATATTGTATCAAGCATGGAATATATTAAAGGCTGTCTTCGCCTTCTTTGCTTTCTTTTAAAAGTAGAACACCAACAAGTTTTGCCTCTGTCATCTTTCTATAGCAGAAGAGTTTAAAAGGAAAGGGGGAGAGTTATTAATAAAGGTACAATAAACTCTTCAACAAATCGGGTATTTAATATTATTTGTGAACAACTCTGAAGAGCCATAACATACAGTTATTTGTTGCAAGTTGTGTTGCAGAATGTTATCTTTACTTCTAACTGAAAGCTGATAAGAAGCTAGACAAAGTTAAATCTCTGCACTGTTGTATCTACATAGAATTAAGAGACCATTTTCTAGATGACTTAGTCTCAGCTACTACCATAAAAATTTGATGATCATGGATTCTAGAGATAGATTTGCATCAAAATTACTTGTTACGATATGATGTGGGAATATTACTGCTAACGTAATTCTTGACAAAAAGAAACAGCTCTTAGTATAGCATCTGAGTTATCAAATAATGAAATAATTAGCTCTTACATTATGATATTATAAACTATCAAATAATCGCTTATGAAAAATATAAACACAGCTTGGCATGGTAGCTCACATCTGTAATCCCAGCACTTCGGGAGGCTGAGACAGGTGGATCACTTGAGGTCAGGAGTTCAAGAGCAGCCTGACCAACATGGTGAAACCACATCTCTATTGAAAATACAAAATTAGCTGGCATGGTGGTGCATGCCTGTAATCCCAGCTACTTGGGAGGTTGAGGCAGGAGAATTGCTTAAACTCGGGATGCAGAGTTTACAGTGAGCCGAGATTGTGTCATTGCACTCCAGTCTGGGCAAGAAGAATGAAACTCTGTCTGAAAAAAAAAAAAGAAAAGAAAAATATAAGCAGTCAGTGTTTAAAACAATAAGTGCATAGTTATAAAGTTACAAAGCTTTGTGTGCTTTAAAATCCTTTCAGATTGCTGGAGATCTGATGTACCACACAGTGATGATAATTAATAGTACTGTATTGTGCGCTTGTAATTTGCTAAAAGGATAGATCTTAAATTGGATCTTAACACACATATACACAATAATAGCTGTATAGAGGTAATGGATATGTCAGCTTGACTGTGGTGATCATTTTACAATGTATACATATATCAAGACATCAAGTTGTACACCTTAAATGTATGCAACTTTTATATATCAATGATATCTCAGTAAAGGGGTTAAAAAAATCCTTTCTGTATAGTAGTACCTTGAAAGCATATTTTGAGAACCAGGTGCGGCAGCTCACACCTATAATCCCAGCACTTTGGGAAGCAGAGGTGGGCGGATCACTTGAGGTCAGGAGTTCGAGATCAGCCTGGCCAGAATGGTGAAACTCCATCTCTAATAAAAATGCAAAAATTAGCTGGGTGTGGTGACGGGCATCTGTAATCCCAGCTACCTAGGAGGCTGAAGCAGGAGAATCACTTGAACCTGGGAGGCAAGAGGTTGCAGTGAGCCAAGATTATGCTGTTGCACTCCAGCCTGGGTGACAAGAGGGAAACTCTGTCTAAAAAAAAAAAAAAAAAAAACACACACTCACACACACACACAAATAACAAAACAACAACAACAATAAAAACAGTATAGTTTGAGATATCATACCACAAACTTGCAATGTTACAAGTTTGTGTAATGTAACAAAATTGTAATGTTTTAAGATTACAAATCTTCAGTGCTTACAAAAATAATAGTAATAATGAAGCCAATTATTAGATGTTTGCATTCTGCCACGTTTTCAAAAGTTGAGGGTTTTTTTCCCCTCCAGGCTTTGTAATATATTTCTAATATTCTGTTTGATAATACTCTCGTATTCAGCTCTATGATACCAGCTAATGTATTGGATATTACCTTAAATGAAATAAACTATCTAAAGCTGAATTCATGAATACTTGTGTGGGTAGTCCCTCAGTATAATACTGATAGTAACAAATGCTGACACGGATTGAGCAGTATGTACCAAGTACTGTGTTGTATGCTTTACATGAATCATCTCATTTAATCTTTATAACAACCTGAATTGGCAAGTACTGGTATCACCCTCCAATTTACAGATGAGGAAATTGCATGACTTGACCAAAGCCAAACCCCAAGTAGGCTTGCTGGTCCAGAATATGAACTGAAGCAGTTAGACTTGAGGCCAGTGTATTTTACTTCAGCATTGTGATATTAATGGTTTTTATTTGATTCCTCACATGTCATACTATTGAAAGCAGTTTAGATAGTGATTAAGAATAGTAAAATTAAGGGCAGCAGTGAGGATGAAATTTTGAAATATCTATTGGCAACTTGATGACTGCCAAATTACGTACTTGCTTTCAAAGAACTGTCAGTAAAATCTATAAAATCTCAGTTCTGCTCAAAAGTAATAGTATTTCTTAATTTTTATCTTAAGCTGGGCAATTCATATTCCCCTCACTTTTTTTTTTCTTTAATTTTTTGTTTTTCCCCTCACGTTTTTTGGAGACACTGTCTCACTTTGTTACCCAAGCACGATCTCAGCTCAGTGCAGCACCTCTGCCTCCCAGCGTCAAGTGATCTTCCCGTCTCAGCCTCCCAAGTAGTTGGAACTAAAGGCAGTATTTTTCCCCTTTAAACAATGTGTCAACATTTTATTTTTAAATAATACTCCTATGGTTAATATAATTAATTTTATGTGGCTATATATATTTGATATGAATGTGTGGTGGAGGATATAAAATAGCTTATTAATTGAATAGATACTATTTAATATTCTATTTTTAACTTTTAAAACTATTTTATTCAGGTTGGTTTGACTTCCACAAATGCAGAAGTAAGAGGATTTATAGATCAGAATCTCAGTCCAACAAAAGGTAAAGATTATTGAATAAAATTTTTCTGAATTAAGCTAATTTTATTGCATTTGTTTTATAAAATATGTAGCTACATGTATTATTTTATGCATAATAATTTTATAATATTAGCATTTTGTTCCATGCCAAATAACTTGTGTTGTGTGAAAGTCATTTACCTCTGAGAGATGGAGGGTTTTCATGTGTGATTTTTCTCTTTTCTAAGAGATCTCTAAGATCCTTTAACAATGATCTTACACTGAAACTATTCAGACTACTGTTTTCTTGTTTGAGAGTCCTACTTTCAAGTAGTTTAACCTGTAAGGAAGTACAGTAGAGAAAAAAAAAATATATATATATATATATATATATATATGTTTTCTATATTGTGTGTATTTATATTTTCTTTGACTAATATGTGACTTACTGGAAGAATGCTTATATCAGAAATCTGGACTACTGGCTTGGTGCCGTGGCTAACACCTGTAATCCCATCACTTTGGAAGGCCAAGGCAAAAGGATTGCTTAAGCTCAGGAGTTTGAGACCAGCCTGGGTAACATAGTGAGATGAGTCACTGTCTACAAAAAATTAGCTGGACATGATGGTGTGTGCCTGTGATCCCAGCTACTCAGGAGGCCAACGTAGGAGGACTGTTTGAGCTTGGAAAGTTAAGGCTGCAGTGAGCCATGATCATGCCATTGCACTCTAGCCTGGGTGACAGAATGAGACCCTATCTCAAAAAAAAAAAAAAAATCTGATCCACTAGTACAATAATTTATATAGGAACCAGCAGTATCTTTCAGTATGTGTCTTTGAACAGTATCTTGTGGTATGTAGAGATACATGCTAAAAGGTTTACGGATGAAATGATATGATGTCTGGAATTGGCTTCAAAATACCCACTAGGGGAAAGTGGGTGATGCAGATAGAACGATATTGTCTAAAGTTGATTATTTGTTTAAGCTAGGTAATATCTCTGTGGGGTTTCATTATTACTTTCCTTTCTCTTTTCTTTTGTGTATATTTGAAAATTCCCATTATAAACAGTAGGAACAAGATGTTTGCTATTACAATACAAATAGCTATAAGGGAAACATCAACTTCCTCAAAAGAAGTATGTCTCAGGTGGGAGATGTACTCTGGAGCAGGGGTCCCTAACCCCCAGGCCATGGGTTATTTTTTTTCAGTTATCACTGCTCTATTAATCCTAGCCAATGATTTTTTTTTTCAGACATTGCATTTTTCAGTTCTAAAATTTCCATTGGGTTCTTTACAGCTTTTATTTTTCTGCTAAGTAGGGAGGGTAAAAGCACAAATGCAAGAGCATTGACAAAGAAAACGTAGAATGTTAGAGCAGCACTGAACTCAGTTGAGGTTAAATTTAAAGATCTTAATCCAGGAGGTTGACTACTTTTGTCCAGCAGCACTAATAAGAAAGACAGGGGCCAGGTGTGGTGGCTCCTGCCTATAATCCCATTACTTTGGGAGGCTGAGGCAGGTGGATCACCTGAGGTCTGGAGTTTGAGACCAGCCTGGCCAACATGGTGAAACCCCTTCTCTACTAAAAATACAAAAATTTAACTGGGCATGGTGGTGAATGGCTGTAATCCCAGCTACTCAGGAGGCTGAGGCAGGAGAATTGCTTGAACCTGGGTAGGGGTGGAGATTGCAGTGAACCAAGATCGTGTCATTGTACTCCAGCCTGGCCAACAAGAGCAAAACTCCATCTAAAAAAAAATCAAGAAAGCTGGTCTGGATACAGTGGCTCATGCTTGTGATCCCAGCACTCTGGGAGGCTGAGGTAGAAGGATTGCCTGAGTCCAGGAGCTTGGGGCTGCAGTGAGCTATGATTATACAACTGCATTCCAGCCTGGGTGACAGACCATGACCCTGTCTCAAAAAAAAAAAAGTTGGGCGCATTGGCTCACACCTATATTTCCAGCACGTTGGGAGGCCAAGGCATCTGGATCTCTTGAGCCTAGGAGTTCGAGACCCCAGACTCACCAACATGGTGAAACCCTGTCATCTACAAAAGATACAGAAATTAGCCAGGCGTGGTGGCGCATGCTTGTAATCCCAGCTACTCAGCAGGCAGAGACACTAGAATCGCCTTAACCTGGGAGGTAGAGGTTGCAGTGAGTCAGGTTTGCACCACTGTATTCCAACCTGGGTGATAGAGCAAGACTCTGTCTCAAAAAATAAAAAAAAAAGAGCTGAAATGCTCCAGGGTTGGGATACATCCAGCCAGTGCTACAGAAGGGAAAGTAATGTAGATGTGAAACACATATAAAGATGGGGTGACTGGGAAGGAGAATGCATGAAGCCCAGGCGGTTGTGGAAAGGTGACAGGGCTGGAGGACACACCTAAACATGTGGAATTTCAATGCTGGGCAGCCAGGGCCAAATTCATATCCCCCCAACATTGGGTACCCTGGAGGTTCCAGTCTTGCCCATCTACCACCTATCAGTCCACCTTTCCCCCCCAGGCTCCTTCCCCAGGAGCTCCCCAGGGCAATCCAGCTTTCCCCCTAGGTGGGCCCCCTCATCCTGTGCCACAGCCAGGGTATCCAGAATGCCAACCCTCGGGTCCCTACCCTCCTTTGTACCGACTGCCTGCCCCTGGGATGCCTCCTGAGAATCCCTTGGCTCCTGGCATGGTTGGTCCAGGAGTGATAGTGGACAAGAAGATGTAGAAGAAAATGAAGAAAGCTCATAAAAAGATGTACCAGCACCACAAGCATGGCAGGCATACCTTCTCCTCTTCCTCCTCCTCTTCCAGCAGTGACTCTGACTGAATATAGGCCGTGGACCCTTCCCTCAGGTCTCACCAGTTCTGCTCTCCCATCAAGCTTCAGATGCCCTGTTGTATTGGGGGAAAGTAGCTCTTGAGCTCCCCACCCTTACCACCACCTGAGCCTCACTCTGCTGTTCAGCCCTGAGTGCCTAGGGAAAATGGAAAGATGATTGCCATGGTATGGCCACTTTCTTGCTCCTTGGATAGATCATATAGCTAATGAGTTTAGCAGGGGAGCTATTTTTTGAAGATGATGAACTAAGTGTTGAAGATAAGTTTGAGATCTGTAAAATGTGATTTTTTTACTTCCTCTTATAATACTTGTTATTGGGATTTGTGGAAGCTTGATTATGATGAAAAACCTCATTTTTTTTTTTTTTTTGTAATGTTGGCATACATTTATGAATTTAGTGGCAAATACATTCCCCAGCAGGCCTTTTGTTGGTTGCACTAACTGCAAGGTTGATGGGAAGTAGAGTCCGTTTGGTTGATGAGCTTTGACTGCCATTTTGGAGGGAGGGAGGAAGGAAGGAAAGATGGCATTGTGTGTGGCAAGAAATGAGACCTGAGAGGTAGGCCACGTTCTTTCATGGATTCAGCAAATATTTATTAAATAGTACTTACTATGTGCCAGGCGTTTTTCTGAGTGCTGAGGATAAACAAGGAATAGAACAAAGTCCCTTCCCTCATGGAGCTTACATTCTGGTGAGGAAGATAGATTACAAACATATACACGTGAAAGACTGGTTATGTGAAAAAAAATCTATATATCAGGGTATAGGACTAAGGATAAAATAGCAAGGAGATTCAAATTTAGATAGGGTGGGTCAGAGAGGAATGCACTGAGGAAGTAACAGTGTAGCAGAGGTGGTGACTATACAGTAGAGACCTAGATAATAAAGTTATTAGTCATAATCTATAATGAGACTGAGACTTAATGAATGAGTAAAGAAGTATGTGAAATAGGCTGTATACAGTGGCTTGTGCCTGTAATCCCAACACTTTGGGAGGCCAAGGTGGGTGGATTGCTTGAGCTCAGCAGTTCTAGACCAGCCTGGGCAACATGGCAAAACCCCACCTCTACAAAAAATACAAAAAAATTAGCTGATGTGGTAGCGTGCACCTGTAGTCCCAGCTTCTCTGGAGGCTGAGGCAGAAGGATCACTTGAGCCTGGAAGGTGGAGGTTGCAGTGAGCTGAGATCATGCCACTGAACTCCAGCCTAAGTGACAGAGTGAGGCCCTGTCTCAGAAAAAAGAGAAGTGTGTGAAATAGTAAGAAATGTAGTCACTTGCTGCATAATGATGTTTCAGTCAATAATGGATGGCTATCTAGCAGTGGTCCCATAAGATAATAGTGTGTTTTTACTGTACCTTTTCTGTGTTTAGCTATGTTTAGATACACAAAAACTTACCATATGTAGGCATTACAATTGCCTACGTATTCAGTACAGTAACATGCTGTACACATTTGGGTTTGTGTAAGTATACTCTGTGATGTTTGTACAACAGTGAAATCACCTAACAATGCATTTCTCAGAACTTACCCCATTGTTAGAACTGACACATGACTATATCTATTAGTCTCTGCTCCCTCTCTCTGGCACAGAACTCTTGCAACTCTTGTAATTTCCTGAATGATAGGGGTGCTAGGAGAATCGTTTCTCACATTATTTGATCAACGCCCTGATTCCTGAGACAGAGTTCCTGATACCCCTGTAGGTGGGAGTACTAGGAGAACCTTTTGTTGTAATAATATTTGGTTTTTGACCCCAGTTCCTGATGCAGAACTCCTAAGACCTTTGTAATTTTCTGAATGACAAGAGCATCTGATACAGAGCTCCTAAATCCCTCAGAATTTCCTGGGTAATTAGGCATGACTTTTGTACAAATGAGGTGACTCTCGGTGGGCTCTTGGATTGGGATTAGTCACCAGAAAGATAAAGCCACAATTGTAACCTTGAAGCTTTCAGCCCTACCTCCTATTCATTGGAGATGGGAGAAGGGCTGGAAATTGAGTTAATAATTAATCATACCTCTGTGATGAAGCCTCCATAAAAATCCCTAAACTGTGAAGTTTGGAGAGCTTCGAGGTTGGTACACACATCCCTGTGTCAGGAGGGTGGCACATTCCAAATCTGGGGACAGAAGCTTCTGGACTTGGGGCCTTTCACACCTTCCTTTATGTATATCTTTTTCTGACTGTTCATCCTGTTCATTTATGTCTT